AGCACTGCCTTGTGTGTGTTACCTAGTTTGAGACTCACTGATGGTGTGACATCATGGAGGGGTTCTACTTTTTGCCCCCTGGTAAGGGTATTTTAGTAAACGGATGTAATCATTATCAGACTTTTAAGGAAAAAAAAAGTTTGCCTAAGAATGCATCTGGTAGGAAGGCACACAATCAAGAATGTTGAGACTTTCCTGAATCATATGCATCACAACATTTATAGTAATGTCAATACAATTTAAGAAATGTCAGGTATTTCTTTGCAGTCATGTCGATCCAACATTAGTCTTGACAGATAAGAGTAAAAACGGGGTGCATGGTTAGACAGTGTGGGTTCATCTGTCTGATCTCTGATCTGTTTGTCAGTTTCTTACATTTTCCATTTGTCATCGGAAGCTGCAGTATAATTTGGTACTTAGCTGCAGGGATTTGACTTCTGGCTGGGGACTGAGGCGTTGAGTTAATGAACCTTGCGTCACTTCGCTGGACCATTTAAAATAAGACATCTTTATGTTTTAGATGTCTTTACAGAGATGGGGGCTCCCCCCTTTCTCGCTAAGCGAAACCATTTTTTTTTCCTCCAGGAGTTCTAGGTAGTTTTCGCTTCGGTGGCTGTGTGGAATAGGTTGTATTGCGGCATTACCGGGGTTTTAGGCATGTTTTCCGTTGTGCTTGCTTGTCCGAAAGTCCTGCCTGTTGCTGTAATTTATCGGGTGTAAAAGAGCTGAAACTTCTAGAAGAGGTCGACGCCAAGGTGCGGCCGGCGAGTTTTACATTTCAATTTGAAGAAACGTGAATCATAAGATGGATAAGTTGCGAAACATATTCGCCGATGTGTACTGTGGAACAGGCCTTTGTCGTCCGAAGTGATCTGTTTTATTCGAAATTACATAACCAGACCGATTTGATCTGAAGATAAAATTGCACCGCTGCCATCAGAAACGATTCGTGTGCGCTTTGAGGCTGGAAACGCATCTTTTTCTTCTTTGGTATTTTATTAAAATCGGCGACTCCCCTGAACGTTGGGACCAATATAATTCATCGGAATGTTTTGAGGAAGAAAAACTGTTTACGAGGCCTCTAAAACCCTGCCGTATTTTTCCTTTTGTTTCCTAGCAGTTGGTTTGAGGCCGTTAGTGCGCGCTTCCGTATTCGAAAACAATTATTTTTTTTATCAAAGAGAACGTGATGGTAATGTTGATTATTGCCCTCGGTACCTGGATCGGAGACGTGTCGGGTGGTATCTGGGGGAGTTTGTTTACAAGCGCGCGTCCCTGCGCCCCTGCCAGCCCGTGCACATGGGCTGAAACCCACAACATGGCGGCCGGGTCAGCAGGCAGCGCTTGAGAACGGGACCGCAGAGCGATTCTGTGCGAAATACAAAACAGCAGGGAAACCGAATGGGGGAGGGGTGTACTCCCCTCCCCGTTCAGTGCTGAGCCGTGTTTTGTCTGAAACGGTGGCGAATAAAGCACGTTAAGTTAAACCATTACAGAATATACGTTCGTGTAAGTTTGCAGTAGTCGACTCATAAGTGATATTTATCCAGGAAGTATTGATTCAGGGGCATTTTTTCCCCCTGTAGTAAACTGTTGCAACCGCCTCCATTGGTCCCACTTGATTGCAGACATGTTGAAGTTCAAGGTCCCACCTCAGTCACAGAGTGAAAGTTTAATTTCTACCTAAATGCATCTCAGGAGAGTGAGTTTGGTTACAGGTGGCCACCATATTGCAGACTGAGCCGTTAAAGAAACTTAATTTTCTGGTCTCTGACACCAGAAAAATAGCTTTTATTTGAGGAACATTGGTGACTGATTACCTTGTCTAATCAATATTCCAACTCAGTTGGCTTGTCAAGGTTTAGACAAGGACCTTTTACATTTATTGATAAGTAGCTTTCTTTGCCCCTCTGAATGAGCTCTTAACCTTTTGGAAGAATGGAGGACAGTGGTCTTGAAGGGAGCCCCACAGTGGCATGGGTGGTTCCTGTGAGTTTTTGCCAGGTGCTCAAGTTTTCTCTGAACTTTAAAATACCTGCTGTGTGTATTAACTGGTGTGTCTAAAGTCAGATGTATGCCCTGCAATGAACTGGCATACCCTGTCAAAGTTATAGTCCTGCCTTGAGCCCTGCCTTGAGCCCTGCATTTCCAGGGTATTCTCTGGGTTGCTGCGATCCTTTAATGAGCAGCTTTCTGGTTATAGATAGCTTTGGAGAGCTGTGCACTGAATGGTATTTCTTTAACACTAACATCTTGGAACTGTGGTCCAAGAATATGGATCTGGAAAAATATAATTATCATTTTTTATAGTTCATGTCCATACTAATCCATTTCTTAATGTGTAGTCAGACTTGATTTGCATAGAACTCTTATCTTATGAGTTTTCTCTAGGAAAATAAGGGGCTGTGGACTGACCCTGTACAACAAAATGAGAAATTCACCTTACTGTTAATGCAAGCATTTTTTAGGTATGAGTAAATGTTGAATACTGTAGAGAAATGTCTGTGCACATTTTCTATTGTTTTTGGAGGAAGGTAGCCATATATCCCCTTGAGATTATTTCAGTCACAGTCTAGTTGTTTTTAAACCTTTTATGGACATGTTGTTCCTAAACAATCTACAAAATAGAGCATTTTTGCTTTATCCTAGCATCAAGTCTAATGTTTAAAGAGAAAGTGTAATATGAAATCATAATTGTTTTCATGATCACTTGAAATTACATGTGATATCTTTTACATTTTTGTTGAAACCCTGTGCCACATTAGACCTGCCATTGGGGGAGATAAGTCAACTTATTGTTCAGTGTTGATCTTCACCTGTAATTCTTTCTAACTCGGTGGATAATAATAATTGTATAGTAATCATTGTATTGTAAGTTTGTATACATTAAGAAGCAGCTGAAATTAGTGATATCTTAAGTATTGAATTATTCTTGTATAAAGGAAGCTTATATATAAAAAAACTAGCTTGAAAAAGGCCTGCTTTATATTAGCAAGTTGATTGCTAATTATGAGTTGATTTAAACTAGAAATTACCTATTCATTTTGTTGAAAGTCTGTTTTATTGATTTGACGAACTTTTTTTTAGAATCCAGTGCTTACATCTGAATTAGGATATATGTAGTCTAAACCCACATTACCCATCATGACAGCTGAAGTGATCTTGAACTTTCAAAGCTTGAATGCAGACTTTTGGATTAGGGTTGGGACAATGATTAATGATTATTTTATTGGATTTAAAAACAGCAATCATTACAGTCCGTTAAACCTTTGGTCAAACCAAAGAGCTCAGCCAAACATCTTTATTGTTTTAATACTACGGGGTGCGTTGTAATATGCTGTTGGCTGTTACTTTTGTTTTTTCTCGCGTTCCTTGCATGGCCTGTGCTGCTAGGAAGACTGGACCCCCCCTCGCAGAAACTTGTATCTTAGCAACCACAAATGTGTCGGATTGATATCTGTGCAGATCCTTGTCTAGTGATCATCAGGAACACAGATTGCTTTTTTAAAGGGACAGCACTCAACCTGTATAATGAATAGGTATGCATGTGATTAGATGTGAATTTTGTATTTGTTTTGATTTAGCACATGTTGTACTGGATTGAAACCTATGGCAGGGCCTGTGTGCTTTCTAGATTCCTTTAGAGCAGAAAATCCTATTACTCCAATTAAGCCAGCCAACCATCTGATTTAGGTCATTAAGAGCAGGAGACACCATTAGTGGGGTACCACAGGGACCTACCCTGTGACCACTGCACTCAAATTATATGTGGTTTATTTTCTGTCATCAAAATCAGTCATGCTTGCGAATGTAACCAAAATAACCAGTTTAATTAACAAGCTGCATAGTCAAAGTTGAAGATTGGACAAGCATCTAGTAGGTGACCTAAAGTATGGAAGTGTGGTATTATATGAAGATAACACAAACATGAACTGTTGATGTGAAATGGAAGTCAGTCTTCAGGATGCTCCATATGGAAAGGACTTGGGTGTTTGTGGGCATGATTTCATTCTTCTGAACATTGAGGGGAAGCAATAAAAACTTTAATGAATTTTATTTTTTAGTTATACAACATCCTTGTTGTAGAATAGTGTAACTCCATGATTCATGATCAGTTCCCTGTACTGACTGTCTAAAGAACTGGACCTTTTTTGTTTTTAACAGAGAAGACTACAAGGTTCTGGATTCGGGCTTTCAGAACATTGAGATGCATAAACTGTCGGCTTAATGGACTTTTTCAGAATCGGCACTGAGTCGCAAACAAGGGGGAGTTAAGTGCAGAAACTGAATGAAAGTTTTCCCTAAGACTTGTGGAATTCTGGAATAAGCTGCTGAGCTATGTTGTTGAAACAGCTGGTTGACATCCTCAGATGATGTAGCTGCCATTAACTAGATGTGCAG